ACTTGTTCCAGTGGTGTACAAGCGTAAGGAAATACTTTTTATGCAGGCGGTAACTTCCGGGATTGTTCTACGTAGGCGTTTGACGGGCGATTGCTTCCTTTCGTAATAATTTTGTTTCTTCCTTCCTTCCTTCCTCCTCCCTTCTTACTTCCTTTCATTTGTCGTCTTTTCCCTTTTCTCATATATTCATTCTTTTGTTTTACCTATTTCCCCTCTGTATGTCTGTCATTTTCTTTGATACTTTTGTCTCTCTTTCTTTTTCTTATTTTATTGTTTATCCCCTCGTGTCCTTTTCCTCGTTTCTGTGCCTGCAGGACTAGCAAGTCATCATCTTTGCTTGCTGGCTGCTATAAAAATGGCGCAAAAGTTTAAAGGTTATGTTTCGTGTTTTCCGCAAGAAACAAGCATTAAACGTCCTTGTAGGTTCGTGACCCGCCTGTATTCATTGTTCATATATATATATATATAGCAGTTCAGCACAGAGCCGGAAGTAGCAGCTGACATGCAGCATTGAAATCCCCCCCACCCCCTCCGCTAGAACCATTTATCTGAGATAAAGTCGCTCGTATTCTGTCGAATTGATATGATCAAAAGTCCAGTAACTGTAAGTCCATTCTCCGCTTCTGCATCAGCAACTGATGGAGTAACAATTTTCAACTGTCTGTCGTGACTGAAATGTAGTTTTTTTTACACGTGACTATGAAATGCACGTGTAACTTACGCTTATCAGGCCTGTCTGTCTATCCGTCTATCTTGTTTGTTTCTACGTATGGGATCCGTTATCATCACATTCTATCGGGAATTTCATATTAAGATCGTCTTGCGTTGCTGAAATATGTGCGCAATATCACTCACCATGAAACAGCCCGAAAGATGACAGCGTCTTATCAGTACACTTGCAATGAATAGACGTTTTATTAAGTGTCAATCAAAATTCATGTTTTATTGAGGCTGTTATTTACGTAAGAACGAATTTGCCTGAAACAATTTCTTCCTTGTGGCGCATTTCGTGTTCTGTCAGCATTAGTTAATTAACTCACACTGGACTTCACGTTTTATATTATACCTTTGATTTAGTGTTGTCTGACCCAGTTTGAGAAGCGTAATGCGAAAATATCACAAAACTTAAACAATACGTTGAAAGGTGACGTCTATGATTTACTGCCATGTTTTCCGGGAAACAAATGTTCATCTTAAATTTATGCTCCAACAAAACAGAAAGATTTATACAGCAGTAGCAATTTGCGACCTCTTTACAGCGCTATCTGAGGTGTGACTGACTTTTGTTGCAGGAATTCTTTGGCAAACTTGCTTCCAGTCGCTGTGAAAACAAAAGGCAAATACTGTTAGACCATACCACGAATCATTACACAGCGTTTTTGAGAAGGAGGGGTGGAGACTTTATTTCTGCGAGGGGGCAACGACACAGTTCTCAGAAAAGTACACTAAATGATAACTAGTTTTATTTGACTCGAATTATTTGCACAGACCTGACACGGAATCTTATTCTCCTCCTCTGCCCCTTCAGAGGGCATCTAGGAAGTAGAAAACAAATCCCTAAATTAACAAAACTGGGATTCAGTTGTTAGCTCGTTCGCTGTTCGTCGTATTGAAAATCCTAGCAGACCTAGTGCTGACTTAATTTTACAGCAATAAGAATGAGGATAATAATAATAATAATGCATTCTTCCTGGTACTTGAATTAATGAATAAATAGCATTTTCTTTGCTTAAGTTATTCCCATACTGATTGAATGTTTATTAGGTCATTTTGCAATAGCATATATAACATCATGTCGAACTGCAGGTTTTATGAATCTTGTAAATTGTAAAGCGAGTGTACGACATGGTCGTAGCCTATTTTAAAACTTCCTTTAACATGTCTGAAAAAAATGTCACAATGAAACATATAAATTATAGCCCTATTCTGAGCCGAGATTCAAACCCAGGACGCTCAGAACACGTTATAAATATTTCCGTTTCAAGGTCTTAAATATTAGCGGTTGTTGTAATCGATTAACGCGGGCACTTTTGTTTCATGTTTCGAATGATTTTGTTGAGATGAATTATTTTGCAAGATTATTTTCTGTAACAGTGAAAGAAGATGTTTTGCGTTCTAAAAGGAGAAATATATGTTCTTCTCAAAAGTATGGTTTCATCTTTGTAACACTTTAAAGCCGACGATCGTCTAAATAATGTTTCAGTATTCGGTCCGTACCGCGAAGAAAACACAACACTTCACCATTACAAAGATCAACTGGTTAACGCTGTTTAAGGAAATAATCGCTGTTTAAAATGAGATTCATACGAAATACAAAATGAAGAGTTACTGACCTTTAAAGCAGGTGGTACATATAGTTACCACTCAGCGTAACGTTTCAAATAAAATACAGACAACCGAAGTTAGGTCTAGGAAATTGAAGCCATCAGGCGGACAGGAAATTCTTCACGTGATTATGAAATGAGACTCGTTTTAAAAATAGTCAGATGTGGCGAGGAGGGTAGGAGGAGTTCGTGGTGAATGCAGCGGGTTGTAGTCTGATCGTAGGCGCCTGCACATCGAGGAGGCGCGGCGTCTGGAGATCAGACCGCGCACTACAAAACACTAAGAATCCAGAAAATTGATCGTCAGACAGAAGACAGACGGCAAGAGTGGCTCAAGTGTGCCCTGGCGTGATCAGACAGACGAAGAAATATATAAAGAAACAAACAAAGAAGGCGACAGAAAATGCAGAGAAATGAAGAACGAAGATCATGTAACATTTAAGGATTCAGTCCGTACCTCAAAGAAAACATAGTCATCGTGATAACGCTCAGCTGGTAAATGCTGTTTATTAAAGTTGGTTTTATATATCATACCAATAAGAAGGATTGAGTTTCAGTAACCCTCTAGATTTGTTTTAAGGTAACCGGTTCGAATCTAGTTCGGGTTACTAGCAACCCCCGGTTATTTCATGATTTTCCCTAGTCCCCTCAAGCACATGTTGAGATAGTATTTTCAAATAGGTCAAGACCATCTCTTTGCAAATCTGTATTTATTTGCCGTCCATGTCTATCAACCTGACCTAACATCTTCAGTTGATTCTGCTTCATGAAACAAATCTGTACCTTAACAATGTATAAGTGTGGATACAGCGGTTAATGACGTCAAATTACATGGCGGCGCGATGTTTGAGGGTCACATTCGCGACTCGGCAACCTTTGCCCGGGAATAGAGTCGATTTCGTGACACGTGTCTGTGAGAACTCTCGGCTCGAAACCCGGGGAAATGGGCAGTAACTGCTTACGTTTATGCCCTGAGGCCTGCTCTGATAAGGAATTAATTCTGATGCAATTTATTCGTAATAATTTGGTAGAACTCCTACAGGGGGCAAGCCCGTAGAATATAAAATAAATACGCAGACATACTCATGCCCCTGAGAGGAATCTCAACCCAGAAACTCTGTTTTCGAGGTACCAAAGACAGAAACATCGTCTGACTTTGCAAGGGAAGGAATAATTTTGACATTTGATTAACGGAGTCCCTTGTACTTTGTTCTTTAAGTCATTGTTACACAGAAGTATGTGGCGACTGAAGGACGTAGTGACGTCACACCAAGATGCTTTTGCACTCCAATTCAAAGTAAATTCTAGTGCATCCATCATCGTGCTTCTCAGTGCATATCAACAGGAATGTGCGCAGGGAGAGTTGAAAATATTTCTCTTGTAATCCGATATCTTTAAGCTGACATAAATCCGTCCCAGAGTAAATTACCGAACCGAGATGTGCTCGGATCAAACATGGCCTGTTGATTACCAGCGAAGCCGCAATGCCCTGCCTCGGTTTCTCTTGGAATAAACTAATGAAATTATTTACTATGGCGGTACTACACATCCCGGTCCATCAGTGTTCCGTTATTTACCCTACAGTCATAGCTTTATGCATTAAACAGTTGCCAAACAAAGATTAACGTGTACATAGATCGATTTTGTACTGCAAAATTAATTACGGTCGCCTAG